TGGAGGCAGACCCTATTGTGCACATAGAAAGGTCTCGTTGTTTCGAAAGTCTGTGTGGCGAGGAGGGGGGTTCCTTTCGACAAGCAGCCTTTCGAACAAAATCTCACACCTTTCAGAAGAAGCCTTCATTCGAAAGGCTGGGTGGCGAGCCCCGTACCGACGGAAGATGTGTATCAGGCCTTTTCACACTCCCGCTGAAACTTCGGTTCACTTTTCGTTTTCGCAGAGGGGGAGCACAAACGTTCGAATTTGTGCGTTAAAGCTCATCGTTTTCTTGCGTTGAAGTGGAAACGGCCGCCTTTCTCACGGCGCCCTTCACCTTCTGAAGAACCACCTTCGCCCTCACCTCCCTCTGCGCCCTCATGCAGCCCGGCTATGGCCGCCAGCGCCCTGCGCCCAAGCTGCGCCCTACCGCTTAGCGCCAGCCTGCCTGCTCTCAGCCTAGCGCAGCGCAGCACAGCACCGCACCTCACAATGCTTCAGCGTGCCGGCATTGCTCGCAATGGCCAAGATCCCTGCCCACTCGCCTGCTCTGCCTATATGCCAGTGTTGCGTGTGGGCGCTCTGCCTTGAGCCTGCGCTTGGGCCCCAGTACCTGTACCCAGGCCCAATGTGGTTGGGGCTCACGTAATTCAGTTGCGCCTCTTTCATCAAAACCTGCATCCAGATTCAGATAGTGAACCGGTTTCCCATTGGCATTTTCGGCCTCTATGTCCAGCATGCAATGTCGGCCTCACGTTTATGCGCCCAGGGCCTAACCAATTTTGGGGCCCTGGTCCTTCTGCATTTGCAGAGCTCTGGTACTCGGTGCACTCCAACCAACTGGCGTGCGGCAACTGTATGGACACCACTTCGTGAAATGTTGAAGAAAGGGGCTCTCGTTGATTTGCTGGCCCGCCTTCACTTAGGGCGGGCACGAGGCTTGCTGCGGGCCTTAGCCCAGAACATGTACATCACGGCAAGGCCCCATTGAGGGCTCAATCCTTACAGAGTCCTTCTACTTCCTCTTCTAAGCCCACCATCTCTTCTTCACCCTCTCACTACCTGACTTCTCTGTATCTGCGGAGAGAGAGAGAGAGAGAGAGAGAGAGAGAGAGAGAGAGAGAGAGAGAGTTAAGACTTTGAGACTTGACGACATTGGATCCAGACTCGACATTGGAATTCAGACATTGGACGAGGGACTATTTGGGCCTGCGCCGAAGACTTGGTGTTGACGACATTCCAATCTTCCCCTCGTCTTCGTCTGTGTATGGATGGGGACTGGCGCATTCTTCCTGTGTGAGCGCCAGACCCCTTCACACCATGGAGTGATGATGATGTATGTTCGGGGCTGCATTGCAATATTGATTGTTCGCACCATTGGTACCTAAGTCTTCCGCTACGCTATCTTGTACTTTGTGAGAGAGGTCGGTTCTTGTTCTGGTCTGCACCGTTATGGTATGCAACAGTTTGGTATAGGAGCGGACCTCTCAATCAGAGGACCCGCTCAATCAAGTAACCAGCTTGCTTAATCTATTGATTACTCGTTTGTAAATCAAGTAGGACTTCGTCAAATCTCTGGAAAAAAAAATTCTCTCGCAACAAATATCTGATTTTTTTTTATTATTATTTTTTTTTTTGGGAAAGCATATCTGAAAATTTCTGATAATCGCATTTCGTCTGACCTTAAATTTTCTGATATTAGTATTTCGTTTTCATGGAATAAATATCTGAAAATTTCTGATAATCGCATTTCGTTTTATCTGAAAATTCCTAATAGTAGCATTTTGTTTCTCCGGTATTTGCAGCCAAAACTTCTGATACTAGCATTTCGTTTTCTAGGCATATTAGGATAACAATAGAGGTGGACATATTCTCGAAAATTAGATTTAGTTTCTTTTCTGAAAATCGCATCTGTACTCTATTTCGCAAAAAAAAAAAATCAAAATCGCAGTTTTGTGAAAGCAGAAACTTTGCGGAATCTGGCCTAGATCTCGCTCATAGTACTCATCTGACATGCCTTACTCATAGCATATTGACAGATATATAAAAAAAAAAGGTGGTGATCCTCTTCTTTATTTTTTTTATATTTTTTTTAGTTTGTTGATTAGGACTGGGAGGAAAGTATAGCTGGGTTGGTAACCTACCTACATTTTTCTTCCATGTATCTCAAGTCTTTCACTGTTTTTTGTATTAACTTTGTATGATCTGGTTGGTTTTGAGAATCTGTGCCACACTTATGACTGTGTTTCACGAGTATGCAACAGAGGCCGACCCAGCACTATAGCAGTTGGGTACTTGCCTCAGTCGGTAGGTTAGTAGACAGGGAAAGAATAACGAATGCTACATCTTTGTAAAAGTTTTGAAAAACAAAATATTTTGGAAAAGATATGTCGAAAAAAATAATTAGTTAAGTATTTGTAAATTTACAAGAATTTCAAATGAATAATGAAAATGAATTATAAATAAATAAAGGGATAAATGAGGGTCTATGATTGATTGGGTGGTAGCATGGTGGGTAGGGTAAAGGAAAGGTTTGTACTAGG